ACCCACAGAACCGGTAGTAAAATTTTTTGAAACCCACCACTGAGCTGAACCCAGGAGGATATTTCTTCCAACAGAAGGAAGGAAGGAAGAAAGAAGGAGGGGGAAAAAAGCAAGCAAGCTTGCATGATCCCATAGAGAGAATATTGGCTGCATACCAAGCAGGATTTAGAATTAGTAATCTTAAGAAGCAGATGAGAATTTCTTGAAGTTCTTGGTGATCAAGGGGTTTTTTTTCTTTTTCTATCCCTTCCCTTGTAGCTTCGGTGACATTTAATTTGAGATATCTGCTTAGCTAACTTTTTCTTTCTGTGAGCAATTTGGAGCGCATGTCTGGGTTTTATAAGTCAGCCACTCTGCATGTTGCTCTTACAAAACGCCTTCGTTGTGATGAGAGCTCCCGCTGAGTGATGAGACTTTTGCCCTGGGGGTCTCGGCGCTGCCCCACTGAGTATAAACCTCGCTTCCTCTTCTCAAAATAAAAATCTATCTCACTGCTACAATGGGGCGCCTCGCGTCTCAGATCCTTCAAAAGACGGGGTGAGGTTTTAAAAAACTGGAACCCGTTTTTTCTTTCTCGGCTAGCTGCAATTCCCACCAGGCGGTTTGACAGGCGTAATCCCCCCCCAAAAAAACTGCTTTTTTAGTTTGCCAGACAGAGTGGCTGCCTGCCTTTCCACCCACCCTTATACGGTAAAGCCACAGCTAATTGCACACGTGCAATGCTGTTGTAGCAGAACTGCTAGTTTATGGGTGTTTGGCTCACCTCTGCATTGGTGGTAGAGGAGGAGGAGGAGGAGGAGGAGGAGGAGGAGGAGGAGATGATGGAGAAGGAGATGGAGGAAGAGGAAGAGGAGAAGATGGAGCAGGAGGAGATAATGGAGAAGGAGAAGGAGATGGAGGAGGAGGCGAAGGAGATGGAGGAGACAGAGGAGGAGGAGGAGATGATGGAGAAGGGGATGGAGGAGGACGAGTTGGAGGAGACAGAGAAGGAGATGGAGGAGAAGAAGAAGAAGAGGAGGAGGAGGAGATGATGGAGAAGGAGATGGAGGAGGAGGAAGAGGAGAAGATGGAGCAGGAGGAGATAATGGAGAAGGAGAAGGAGATGGAGGAGGAGGAGATGGAGATGGAGAAGACAGAGAAGGAAATGGAGGAGGAGGCGAAGGATGGAGGAGACAGAGGAGGAGGAGATGATGGAGAAGGGGATGGAGGAGGACGAGTTGGAGGAGACAGAGAAAGAGATGGAGGAAAAGAAGAAGAAGAGGAGGAGGAGATGATGGAGAAGGAGATGGAGGAGGAGGAAGAGGAGAAGATGGAGCAGGAGGAGATAATGGAGAAGGAGATGGAGGAGGAGGAGATGGAGATGGAGAAGACAGAGAAGGAATGGAGGAGGAGGCGAAGGAGATGGAGGAGACAGAGGAGGAGGAGGAGATGATGGAGAAGGGGATGGAGGAGGACGAGTTGGAGGAGACAGAGAAGGAGATGGAGGAGGAGAAGAAGAAGAGGAGGAGGAGATGATGGAGAAGGAGATGGAGGAGGAGGAAGAGGAGAAGATGGAGCAGGAGGAGATAATGGAGAAGGAGAAGGAAATGGAGGAGGAGGCTAAGGAGATGGAGGAAACAGAGGAGGAGGAGGAGATGATGGAGAAGGAGATGGAGGAGGACGAGTTGAAGGAGACAGAGAAGGAGATGGAGGAGAAGAAGAGGAGGAGGAGGAGGACGAGAAGGAGGAGGAGGAGGAGAATAGGAGGAAGGAGAAGGAGAAGGAGAAGGAGAAGGAGGAGGAGGAGGAGGAGGAGAAGAAGAAGAAGAAGAAGAAGAAGAAGAAGAAGAAGAAGAAGAAGAAGAAGAAGAAGAAGAAGAAGAAGAAGAAGAAGAAGAAGAAGAAGAAGAAGAAATAATTAGCCTTTGGGAGAAATGCTACTATTAATGATAATAACCTGCTGGTTTCCACTGAAGAACCCTCCCAAAGTGGGGTGGTGGGGAAAAAAAACTCATTAAAACAATTGCAAGTGATTTACAATTCAAAGCAATTTGAGAGTTTTAAAGAGCCATTTGCAGTTTTAAACAAAGAGAACTCTCTAAAACGCCAGATGTTTCGCCCATAAACCATCTTAAAACTTCATGACCCACGGCACTGAGAAGGAAGCGGAGCAGAAGACCAAGAAGCACGGATTTAATCAAGAAACGAAGTGAGGCCAAAGCTGGAAACTTAAGAAAGCCAGATGCCAAACCCTATATGAATAAGAAGTAGATCTCACAGCTGGGTGCCTTGATGGAAATTGCACCGGTAATTGTGAAAAACAGAGAATCTGCTATGACAGTGACTTTACTTTTCTGGGGATGATGATGAGAAAGAGAGAAGACGTGGGAACAACGGTTCTTATAAACTTTCGCCTTACCATTGTAGGAAGTCAGCACCCACCCCTCTCCTGGAAGAATGAAATATTTTAGGAAATATTAAAAAGGCAGAATACGATATTTCCCTGGATGAGAAATTGAGAAACATGCTCTTGGAGACAGAAACTCCCTGGCCCCAGCACATATTTTGGTGCCAGCATATCTACAAGACAAAAGACTGGGCCAGCCTATCTACAAGACAAAAGACCTTCAGCTCCAGGATGATGGGATTATCCTTCAGGGCAAAGCCATTCAGACACAATAGGAATTAGATTAGATTAGATTAGATTTATTAAATTTGTATACCGCCCTTCTCCCGAAGGACTCAGGGCAGTGAACAGCCAAGATTAAAATACATACAATATAAAAATTAAAATAAATTAAAACAGAATTAAATCAAATTGGCTTCCCAAAATTTAAAACCCTTTGCCCATAAAATAACCCATTAAAATTGCCCTTCATTGCATCACCCAGCAAGATTCAACCAAGCCTTGGACACAGACAGCCTACAAAGTTAGATATGACCCCCGCATAGCCCCTTGGGAGTCTGACAACAACCAATAGGATACATTTCTTGCACAGGAACAGGAAGCTCAAGGGCAAGGCCCAAGAGAGGGTTTAAATCTCTCTCTCTCTCTCTCCTCCATGTGGTCAGCTACCCAGAATCACTCGTGCTTGGTGATTCTGCTTCACCATTAAACCATCTTTCCAATCAGCCTCCATGTTTCCAGTGTCTGATCTGTCCCCGTCCACACACACACACAAACACAGCCAGCCAAGGGTTAAGAAAGTATTTGGCACGCACACAGGTCGTTATGTCAAACTTGGCAGCAATATAATCACCGTCTGCCAAGAGCTTTTACTGCAACAGATAACACAAAATTACATACGCATTGCAAATAGTCCAGCAAAACAATATTCCTTTCGGCAGCTTCAGACGTTGTTCAAGTGACTAGCCAGAGTTCGTTTTTGTTCATCACGGAGTTTTACCAGCCACCACCCTCTCTTATATAGTCTCTGGGGTGTGGTCCAGTGACTCAGTTCTAATCTCTAGCACGCCTCCTTAACTGCTGCAACCGTTTATCACGCCTTCGTTGGCGTGCATCCAGGAATGACGGCTCTCCTTCGCTCTCATCCGAGACACCTGGCTCCTGGCTAATCTCCTCTCCCTCGGCCGGCACCTGAGACAGTGCCAGAGGGGAGGGGCCTGGAGAGGGAGGCCTGGCTGACTCCTCTCCCTCATGTTTGGAGCTTTCTTCCTCCGATGGGATAGGCTCAGAGGGCGGGGCCACAACACTGTCTTTCTCCCCACTTGGAACTGATCTCAGATGGACATTTACTTCCAACACCATTGTTGAAAGCTATTGGCGTTCTCTCTAATCCTTTGGATGGAATGATCATCCGGAGCACCTCCTAACAGACACACCAGGTTCTATCCATCTAGTTTTCTCTTTTTTTCCGTCCTGATTGCTTCATTTTTCTCTTCATTTCCTCCCCCCTCCTCTTGTGCCTGGAAGGCAAAGCTTTTGCAGTAGCTTTCAGAGAGGCATCGGGACGGAAGACAAAGCTTTCCATCAGAAAGGTTTTATCACCTTGATATCACAGCCAGTCGTATTTGCCAACTGGTTTGGAACCAAAGTAAACCAAAAGTAAAAAAAAAAAAAAAAAAGGAAAGTAAAAAAAATATAGGGCAGGATCCAATCTGGGTCGGTCACCGGGACCAGAAATTTTGTCTTCTGAGCTTTCGGACTCGTGCTGGAGCCCATCTTCAGGGAACTTCTCTCTAGCAGTGTGTGTGCTTTGGGCTGTTCTCTGTGTGGTATTTATATGGTGTTTTTGTGTGTGACTTTTAGATGTTGGTGGCTGGCTAGTTAGTCATCGGCTCCTCAGTAGTGGATGAGCTGGTGGTAAATCAACACTCCTGTTGACTGATGAGGAGGCCTGTTTAGCAGGCTTCAATTACTTCCCTGGCTGTTTTTGTGCCTGCTCGTCCAACAATCTTAGTAGCTGCAAAATTGAATGTATGTTGGATCCTGCAACATTATCCAGGGATCAGGGGTGAAATCTACCGGTTTGGACCGGTTTGGGCGAACCGGTAGTAAAAAATACTACCTATTATTCTGTTATTCCGTTAAACTTCATCCTTTTTTAAATAAATGGTTTGAAATAGCACTTCATGTTGTCCAATAGAGATGACCAGATGAGATTTTGGCTCAGAATGTAGAGCTCTGTCAACGGAGTTGAGAAAAGGTTCAGAAATTTGACAATTCTTTCTGCGGAATTAGCTTCCTTCTGAGACACGGTTGAGTATGTTGAAATGTAAGAAGCTTTCGGTGGTGGAAATAAGCTTCTATTTTTGTCTTGTTTTGAGTTGGGTTATTTAGACGGGTCTGCTGGGGCCAGGCAAGGAGGATAGCTGTGACTAGATAAGGCATAAGCTGCTGTGACACGGCGATATCAGGAAAGCTAGACCTATCAGCCCGTGAGTGATATTATGGTCTGTTATTTCACTTAGTGGCGAAGCGACAACAAACTTGAACTGAGTGGCTGGGAAGGAAACAGATGTTTCCAATATCATCAGGGTAACACAATATGACAGTCGCGGGGGTGGAAAATATGAAGAAGGACGTGTCAACCTTCTCGAGCACTGCAAAGCCAGACGGTCTTCTTTTCGCAAGGGAATAAAAAGAGGATCGAAACTGGAGAACTGATGCCTTTGAAAGGCCCACCAAGGCAGATTGGTGGTTGTGGCGATGGTGCCTACAAAGAGGTAGGTAGTGTGTGATGGACTGCAGGGAAGGGGCAGTTTTCAAGGAAGGGGGAAGCATTTTCCAAGGGTATGTGGGTGTGGGAGAGACAAGAGGAAGAGAGTTAGGATAGCCTTTCCCTAGAACCGTGATGGGGAACCCTTCCTCCCTCCCTCCCTCTCTCTCTCTCTCTCTCTCTCTCTCTTATCTTTCTATCTTATCTTTCTTTCTATCTATCATCTATGTCATAGATTCTATGATAATCTATCATTCTCTCTGTATCTATCCATCCATCATCTGTCTATCTCTCTGTATCTCTCTCTCTCTCTCTCTCTCTCTCCCTCCCTCCCTCCCTCCCTCTCTCTCTCCTTCTCTCTCTCTCTCTCCTATGTTCTTCTTTTTGCCCAGGACTTCAAACCATGTGGTCCCGTCCACCATTAAAAAAATCATCTTTCCAGTTTCTTTCTCCCCACTTGGAACTGAACCCAGAAGAATATTTCTTCCAACAGCCCTAATTCATTTCCCAGTAAATAATTTGATCACGCCCAGGCAATATTGAAATTAGACATTGGACTCTTCAAAGTAAACATTTGTCTTAAGGGTTTATCCCACCCGGTGCCTTTCAGGGTGATCCCAGAGACCTCATTCAGAAGGAAGATCGTAAATTCCTGACACTGTTGTGTGGAAGGGATGTTAATTCAACCTGCGAAGTATTTACCTATCTTTCCATATTAAGATCAGAGGACATTGAACGACTGCCTGCTCTGATAAATACCAATAAAGCTTTGCAACAATTTTTCAAGGTGTGCAAGAGCTCATAGCCGCATCTTTAAGGCCCTGTGAGATGAGAGATAACCAGGCTGAAGATCTTAATGAGCTTGGGAGATTTATCCAAAAAAGGAGACTCATTCCATTGCGTTTCTGGATAAATCACAGTTCTGCATTTGCTTGCTTGCTTGCTTGCTATCAGCTTCCAATTAGGGAGGTACAAATCAATAAAAATCCCTCTTGCATTAATTTTTGCATTACGGAGCACATCTGGAAAAAGCCCCCCTTTACCCAAATAATTAGAGAAGGGAAGTAACCTCTAGATTAAAAAAATAAAATGAAATTGCCTTCATAGCTTTTTCTTCTTTCAAAATATGGAGGGAAGAAGTGACATGGTAGAGTTACATTAAATCATGCTATTGGGAAGAATATGTATAGAGATAGCGCCCCCCTCTCTCTGTCTGTCTCTGTCTGCCTCTCTGTCTGTCTCTCTCTCTCTCTCTGTGTCTCTGTCTCTCTGTCTGTCTCTCTCTCTGTCTCTCTCTTTCTCTCTGTCTGTTTGTCTGCCTCTCTCTCTGTGTGTGTCCCTCCCTCTCTCTCTTTCTGTCTCTCTCCGTCTGTCTGTCTCTCTCTCTCTGTGTCTGTCTCTCTCTCTGTCTCTGTCTGACTCTGTCTCTGTCTGTCTGTCTCTGTGTCTGTCTGTCTCTCTCTCTCTGTGTGTGTGTGTGTCTCTCTCTCTCTCTCTGTCTGTCTGTCTGTCTTTCTGTGTCCCTCCCTCTCTCTCTCTCTCTGTCTCTCTCCATCTCTCTGTCTCTGTCTCTCTCTCTCTCTCTCTCTCTCTTTGTCTGTCTTTTTGTCTGCCTGCCTCTCTCTGTGTGTCTGTCTGTCTCTCTCTCTCACACACACACACACCACACACACAAACACACACACAGTGTTGAAATTCAAGATCCTCAAAAATGCAGAGAAATTCAGGGTCATTGGCTGATCAAATACAATGTAAATCCGAACTAAGCGGTGGATTTGAACACTCTCAGAGTGAATGACCACCAACTGAGTTGGTTTTAAAACAGTCAGAGAAGCTACGATTAATGTTAGGGGTAACATATTAACTAGAAATCCCAGCTAGTTGGAAGGAGAGTATAAACCTACTTTCTCTGGTTGTGGGAACCTTAAATCTGGATGAACAGAATCTTGGTCTGATCCTTCAGGACTCTTGTTACCATAGGCCTGTGGTAGAAACCATGATGATTGTCTTGTGCGTGATGAAGTTGTTGTGCAAACAACACGAAGGAACACCAGTCATGCCATTGATATGTCAAGCCCAAGCCCAGAGGTGGCTTAGCAAAATCCAATCGAGTTCAATCCTTTATTTGTTTACAGCTAAGAGATCTAGACCACTTTATGGGAAAGCTTTGTGCTGTGAAACCCTCCTTCTCTGCTCCTACAAGTATACAGTAGTGGCCAAAATTATGGAAACCTTTTGGGAAAAGTGCATTTTCTAAAACTATCTAATAACACCACTTTTTTTTTGAAGTGGTACCATAAAATGATATATCCATGGAGAGATAATTTAATCAGGAATGTCATGCAATAACTTTTAGGAAGGATTTGCTGTTAGAATAGCAGTTACGGTATAAAGAAGAAAACTGAAACACGTAGAAAAAACGAGATATACAAAAATGATCACCCTAGAAAAAACGAGATATGCAAAAATGATTACATCAGTTAATACTTCGTTGGGTAACCTTCAGCATGAATGATGGCCTTACAACCTCTTCCCATGGAGTGAACCAAGTCTTTGAGTTCTGCAGCTGTTCTAATGTGAAACCAAGATTGAAGGATGGCTTCTATTAACTGGGTTTTATTGCTAGTCGCTTCTGACTAACAAGTTTCTTTCATCGGCTCCATCAATTTTCAATTGGGTTAAGGTCTGGGCTATTCCCAGGCTGTTCCAGCAGTGGAATAGGATTATCTTGAAACTCCAAAAAAAAAGGGGGGGCATTATTAGCCATCAGTTCTCAAAAAATACACTTTTCCCCAAAGTTTTCCACAAATTGGGCAACCACTGTACAATCCATTACAACAGCAGAATAAAAGGATGGAGCTATTTCTCCACCAGGGTTAACTTCCAGCTGTATGAACCCATTCTCATGATTCTCAGCAATGGACCTGGATGAAAACTGAACTCTACACTCTGCTGGAAATGGCCTTGGTTGGAAACCGTGGACCAAAACTCTTCTCCCACTGCTCCTCCAGGTATGCATCCCATCGCATATGATGGTGTCACCTCATGCGTGATGTCACTCCTCCATCCACGCTCCTCTATGCATTGTTAAAAAGATTCTTACATTCAATATTCTGATCCGAGACCGCTAAGTCCCTGAGGAATTTCCTACAGGTCTACATTCTACTTTATTTTCCACCAGGCACAGGGAATGTTAAGTGAAACTAACCACATTGTGTCTGTAACCACATTAATTAATGAACCGTCTTTCACCTTATTGAGGCAGTGAAGCGTGGTTAACTTATTCCAATGCATGAAACGGAAATTTGCATAAAAGGTTAGCCACAAGAGAGCTTAATCATTGTACGGCCAACGGCTGATCTTCAAAGTTTGAATCTTGACATCCTTTATTGGGTTTTGAGTCAACGAGGGACAAAGTTGTACTTTGGTAGAGTAGCATGTTAGATATCATGTTGCTATCATCAGCCTGTATAACCAAAGATGTGATTTACATATCCGCTTGAAGACATCATAAGGAGGCATGGAATCAAAGTCACATGAAGTATTAGTACCGCTTTATAAAAGCCTTAGTAAAGGCGATACTTGGAATACTGCATCCCGTTTTGGATTCACCACATTACAAGGAAAATGTTGAGACTTTGGGGAAAAAAGTGGAGAGTAGAACAACTAAGATGATTAAAGGCTTGGAGACAAAAAAATATGAAGAACAGTTGCAGGAATTGGGTACGGCTAGTCTAGAGAAAAGAAGGACTACAGGCAGGGGTGAAATCCAGCAGGTTTTGATCGGTTCTGGCGAACCGGTAGTGGCAATTTTGAGTAGTTTGGAGAACCGGCAAATACCACGTCTAGCTGGCCCCAGAGTGGGGTGGGAATGGAGATTTTGCAATTTCCTTCCCCCAGGAGTGGGGAGGGAATGGGGATTTTGCAGTATCCTTCCCCTGGAGTGGGGAGGGAATGGGGATTTTGCAGTATCCTTCCCCCAGGAGTGGGGAGGGAATGGGGATTTTGCAGTATCCTTCCCCTGCCACACCCACCAAGCCACGCCCACAGAACCGGTAGTAAAAAAATTTGGATTGCACCACTGACTAGGGGTGACATGATAGCAGTATTCCAGTATTCGAGGGGCTGCCACAAAGAAGAGGGGGTGTCAACTTATTTTCTAAAGCACCAGAAGGCAAGATAAGAAACAATGGATGGAAACTAATCAACCTAGAATTAAGGAGGAACTTCCAACCAGTGGGAACAATTAACCAGCGGAACAGCTTGCCTGTAGAAGTTGTAGGTGCTTCATCACTGGAGGTTTTCAAGAGGCAGGTGGACAGCCACCTGTCTGAAATGGTATAGGGAAGGGGTGTCAAACTTGATTTCATTGAAGGCTGCATCAGGGTTGTGTTTGACCTCAGGGGTAGTGGTGGAGTGGATGTGGCCAGGGTGGGCATGGCCAGCTTGACGTCACTTCTGTCAGGGGCCGCTGTGGAAGTCCGAGTGCTCTGCCCAAGGGTGGGCTTCAAAAATTTTAGCAAGGGGTTCTCTGCCTGGTTGCTGGGTGGGTGTGGCCATGGTGGGCATGGCCTAGTCAGCCTCCTGCACCATAGCAGGTAGGGGAGGTTGTTTTTGCCCTCCCCGGGCTTCGGACACTTTCCTTGAACCTCCAGAGGGTGAAAATGGCCTCCCCAGGTTCCAGAGGCCCTTCCCAAACTTCCAGTAGGCCCATTGTTCACCCTCCCTGAGCCTCCGTGCATGCCCTGCATCCAAAACGGGCCGTGTGGGGACTCCTGGGTGGGTGGGGCGGGGCCAGCCAGGAGTGGGATTTGGGGGTTCTCCGAACTGCACAGAATCTTAGCTAGAGGTTCTCCTGAACCCCTGCGAATCCCCAGCAGCCCACCCCTGGCTCTGCTGGAGAAAACAGGCTCCTGAGCTCCGTTTTCAGCTGCGACGGCCTCCTGCAACCCTCTGGCACCGAAAACGGAGCTTGGGAGGACCCTCATGCGGCCCCCCCAAGCTCCA